TCTCCTCTTCGCCATTTACAGCCACTTGCGTGTCAATGACCAACCGTTTGCCCTCCGAAAGCAACCCCTTAAGAACAGGCTGTTGGCCACGGCTGCATTGGTTGTGGCTTTTCGCGTGCCGTCTCGGAATCCATACTGGACGAAATGCCGATGGCTCACATATGAAGAGAGAGCGGCTAAAATGATTCGTGAAACTGGAACTCTGCTTCCACATTTTCGTAGATTATATAAGCTTTTTTAGAGATGTTTGCACGGAGCATTTCAGGAGGTGTCTTTTAACAGTACTGTATCCCGGTAAGGTAGTGGAGGTTGACGAGACGCTCCTTGCCAAAAAGAAATATAACAGGAGTAGGATGATGCAGAGACACTGATGTTTCGGGCTCATTGGACGACGAGTGTTTTGTAGTTTCAGTGAGAGGACAAGATTTTACTTTTCTGCCACTAATCAGGCAGTATGTTGTTTCAGAAACAAGTATAGCCTGATCAGTGAGCGACACACCGTACGATCAAAGATACGCCAGAATGGTATCAGCACGAGAATGTTAATCGCGGCCTCCATTTCATTGATCCTGAGGCACGTGCTTGCAAAAACACCATCGAGTCTGCATCGCCAAATTTCAAACAAGGCCGTAAAGCACGGTATGAAATGAAAAAGACTTAAAATTCTTCATGAACGAATTTTTATGGAAAAAAATACATAGAAGCAACGCCCTGTATTTCCTTCAGTCGGAAACAGCAGAACTCCACCCGTCTCCCAGCACTTCTGTGTGAGTGTTAACCTTCTTCATTAGCTCCTGATCAATCAGCAAGCGGCCCACTTTTTAGCAAGTCCTTCATTTGAGGGACACTGATCGAGGTTTTTTCTAAAGTCTTGGGAATAAAGTAGTGAACTGGTGTTTTACAATGTTAAAAAGGCGTACCAATAATATTCCTCCCCATGGCAAAAACCAGCCACTAACCTCTGATTGAGGTCTCACATTACGCACCATTAAAACTTGCACTACCTGAGCAAGTGGTTCCCGTTGGGCTACACTAATTCCTTTTCTTCCGCATTATGAAATAATTTTGGGGTAAACTCAGTTTACCTCCACTTGCGTAATTAAACATTTTTTCTGTCGCTGACGTAAAATTATCATTTCAAGCATCTCATACTGCTGTTCCATACTTCAGCTGCTGTTGCTACATGAAGTCAAACTAGCCCGCAGTGTCTCACTGTTATTCATAAATCTCCGACTAATACAGATAAGGAGCCATCAAAATGCAAGAGTTTTGGAGTTCCTTGTATTATCAGCACTACGCGCTACGACACCACAAACTTCTTCCTAAATGCCGCTACAAAAACAAGAACCAGAAGAAAATTATCGTAACTTGAGATATAGACGCACTGTCCCCTAATCAAACTAAAACAGTTGTCTGTTCTTTCATATTTTTTTGATTAGGTATGTTCATGAACAAAAGCGTGGCTCAAATTGTTGGCTCTCTGCTCTCAGTTTATTAGTTAGCAGAAGAATAGTGCTGCTAATACTTCATGAACGGGTTTCTAACAGTGCTTGTCATCGAAAATCTCGGTCACCAACTGATTTTGTATAAAGCAGAATTATAGTCCCAAATTCTTCAGAAGGTTCCAGAACACTATCAGGCTCTTAAAAATCTGAGGAGCGCTTTGGCAAACACAGTTTCCCAAAAAAAAGACTTAATTAATCAGTGCATTACATCGTTTGACTTCTAAATAGTCTTGAAGTGAATACTAACGTTAAAAAACGGTATTATTACAGAAAAAAAAAAAAAAAAAACGACCTATTTCATCAGAAATGGATGGTCAGGATCCGGATCTTGTCGAGTTTGTGATGGGGAAATAAAAAACCAGAAAACCTCTTCAAATACATAATTTGGCGTGTCAGTCATACCTAGGACAAAAATAAAAGGTTATAAATTAGTGATAAAAAGCTGCGCATTCTTACTCAACAACTACTGTGCCGGGCTTTCAGGCGGGCGAGATTCATTATTTGCTCATTGAGAAAAACCTGGCAATGTATGGTGCGTTAAGAAGCAGAAACAAATGCCCTAACTTTTCTCTAAATGTTCTTATATAAACATTCTTTTCACAAAGACCACTTCTCCAAAATTTATAGCTTCTAAGTGTCAAAAGTAAGAACAATTTTCACTGCTAACTAAGTGAATAAATCATTTGGAATATGCAACAAATATGCCCTCTAAAATCTAAAACTCAAGCTCGTTACGAGCGAACGATTGCAGAATTATTAAGTAAAAAACATCACTGCTTCTGCAGATCTGTGACAATTTCGGGGGGGGACGAGACCGCCCATATAAGACGGCGATCTGCATTCTGTCCGCAAAAATAAGTGCGTAAATCTACTAAGTACTCAGGTTTTAAAAGACACAAAGCCATCAAACCCAACTCATGACTCACTACTACCTGACGGAATCCAAGCAGACCCAGGGGAGGCGCCCTCACAAACATGTTGACACGTCTAATTGGTGTCTTAGAAACGACAAGAGCAAACTATGAATTCGCAATTCCCACAAACGCTTCCTGTCTCCTCAATCTTTCCTTAAGAAATGTTTTGAAATCTCAACAGTGCCTTTGCACTAAAAAAATCTGAACTAGTCTTACCATCTTAGCCCTAATTATTAACAAAAATCATTCCAGCAACCGTCGTTTTTAATACACTCAACCTGCAACCTTTGAATTTCGTCACTTACCAATACTACCTTCGATTAATGGAAGTCCCCCAAAATCCTACTAACCAGTTAAAGATGCCGTTCTGCAAGAAGTTCAGGAATTAGTTCCCAATAAAACTCTTCTTCTATCAGAAAATGGTTTTGCTTTTTCGTATTCTCGCACCGCTTATCACATCGTCAAAACAGTAACCCACCGAGATGACTTAGAAGCCAAGACATGATTTTTGGACAGTTACGCTTGTCACACTTTTTACCTACCTACACCACTAGACAACTAACATCAATAAAATTTTTAAAAAACAAGAAAATAGCAGCACAACTTAGTGGACAGAGAGAGAAGAAATTCCACATAGTTTCAAAATATGAACTTTTGAAAAAGTTCGACGGTAACTCTCCCTAGGAAAAAAACCACACCCATTATCTCCAAAAGTTTTCAAAGATACTCTGTAATAATTCTGTAAAAAAGTCTAACATTCACTCGAAATTAAAACTGCTGTTCTCTAGTTACCAAGAGACTTTTCGAAGAAAAAAATAAATAAAGATCAAAAAAAAAAATCTACAACTTCTTCGCCCTTATTTTAAGTTTTGCCTATGACTGAATTCAACCAGCAATCCTTACTTAAATAAACACAGAAAAACAAGAAAATCCATAACAGTGAGTGCCATTAAGAATGATACAAAAATACACTACATAAACTCACATTAGATAATGAGAAAATCTGTTTCAAAAGATTATAAGACCTTAAAAATACACGAAAGAATTGAGCAAATCAGTTTCTGGTGACCGCTGTACCTTCAATCCTTAATTTACAAATAGAAAGCAGAGTGGATTAACGTCCGCAATGTTTCCCACCAATGCATTTACAAAACTTGCACTTCACGAACCTCGTTAATAATTTCAATCGCTTTCTCCAAAGCCTAAAATACTGTTTCGAACATAAAGAAGAAAACTCAAAATTGCAAAGTAGAAAACTCTTTAAAAAACATACTTTTAACATATTCACGCACTCTTTCCGTTTCTGAGCTGTTAGGGGACTTTCAGAGAGCAATCCTACATTTTCCTCTCGATCATACAGTTGCCTAACTAACTCACTTTGCAAGTTATCCTAAAAAATCCAATTTTCAGCTTGGTATTTTAAGACAGGTTATTGTACTGTTGAGAGAGAGCTACATACTTGCACATAATTCACCAAGAAATGCATTATAGCCTTCGGAACTGCATCCTGTACATTTTTCTTCACTATTGTGAAATAGTTCCAAATTAGTTGCTCTGCAAACAGCTAAAAGCATTAGATAACGTATGACAAAGGAATAAATGAAAATTAACTAGAGAAAACTGTATATGGAACACTCACTTATCACTGCGCACTCCGTCATCTCAGAAGGCGTCAGTTCCCTAATTATCGTTTTTTCTGGGATTTCTGAATGAAAATTCACTGTTTTGCTAGAAGCTAAAATCATAACTAGTAAGGCTGCACATTACGAAATAAAACCTCAGTTGCAATTTTGTTTTCAAAAGCTTAGTTATGTCAACCAAATGATCGCATTTCGTAAGAACCTCAAGTAAAGGAACAAAATTTGGAATCTTTTTTGAAACATTTTACAGTTGCAATCATTGTGTGGATAACTGATGAAAGTATCACAACTATCACTCAACAACAAAAAAACACTGGCATTGATCAGGAGACCTATACGGAACATTACTCGTTTCACGCTTTATGCTACCTTTTAAACTGGTACCATCACCTTCGCCATCACCCTGAAACACAAAAAAGACAGTAATTTCTCAACAAAGGCTGGCATAATAGAAGGAGCGGCATTAAGGCGGCCCATGCAGAACAAGGATTAAGGCAAAGTTTTCTTCAAATGCTCTGAAGGTAAAACTCACTGCAAAACTCGTTCGTCTTCAATTGCTCAAATAACAAATGATCTACTATTGAACAAAGTCCATACCTGAGTTTGCTTAAGTACAGCGGACTGATAACGCAATTTTATCTCATAAAGTACAAAAAAAATCTTTATCACGATGCGCAGCTTTGCAGAGGTAACTTTCAGATGTACGCAGCAGTTTGTCATATTCTTTCCACAATTCAGTGATATTCCCAAACTTCCATATGTTTTGCTTCGGCGCTTCTGTGTAAGGAATTATGAAGTTATTTCTACAATCATTCTTTTGATGACGATGCTTTACACTTAGATATGATTCATATTCAGTTCTTCCAAACTACCAGAAGTGGTCTTGAGTGTCTTAATATCTGAAAAACCCCCTTCGAGAAAAAGATTCTGTTTTTGAAGTTTTGCTTCGAGACTGGTTATTCAACTGTTTCTCCGCGTGTAACTGACACTTAACAGAACAGCCTAAATCAATTTCAGTAGCTTAACTTCTTGTCGCTACTGCTCCCAGCTTTTTTAAAAATTAGAGCACTACTTAAGCATAAATAATGAGACTCAACAAGCAAGCTGGAAACCCACAAATAACTTTTTAGGCCGACAGAAGAGAGCAAAACAAATAAAGGACTGAACAACTTTGAACGTTTGTTAAGTGTAAGAGCAAAAAATTGCAAACCATTTTCTAAATTATTTGATGCGTCCTACCTAGCACAAACTAAGTAAGAAAAGCCAAGAAGATAAATTAAAATTTGTATTTTTAAATAAATAAAAGACAGTTTCAAATTTTACTGTTGAAGCGCAAAATGAGATGAACTTTTTAAGTTCTTATATTTAAGCGAATTTAGCTATAAACATAATGTCTTGTCTAAAAACAGATAAACGGAGAGCTTTGCACTAAAATTTCACCTTAAAAATAGTAGAGGAGAATTTTGTTGTGTTCTGTTCTGCAGAGGCCTCTTTATAGCTCCGCTCTCTGCAGCAGTGCATAATCTCAAAATATTTAGGAAAACTGGGAGGATCGATTAAGGAAACATAGTTAATACGAACTTCTAAAACAGAAAATTTTGAAATAACGCTTGACGACGGCTCCTTTTCTGACGACTTACCATCGTTTTCAAGCCCCACATGGTCCTAAAATAGTATTACCGGCACCAGTTGTGCTGCGCCACAGTTGCATTTTCAGAAAATTAAACAAGTTATCATTGAAATCAAAGATTACAGGAAACATTTAACATTGAAATGATGAATGAAATAAGCAAATTGGAAATCTTTCCCACCTTGACGACGTTTCCTAGTGTATTGGCGAATTCTGGATGCTTCGAATTAATATACGCCAACTCTATAGCAACTAAGTTTTTAACCATTTCATTGGTTGGAGCCAGCCTGCTCTTCAATAAGGTATTCACAACCTCAGTAACTCTATCGAACAGCCGCGGAAATCGCATCATTTCTTGCTGAATGAAAAGAAGCAGATTCCACTTCTGGTAGTCATGTTAGATTTGTATACATCTTCTTACGAATAAAATAAACTCTGAAGAATTATGAGGTAAAAATTGAAATATGTTTAAAGCACTTTCCAAACCCAATGCAGTATGTCGAAAAAGACAGAATTACGGAGAAGTTCGTAAAAAGCTACATTTTAAGGAATTTGCTTTCGGACATTTTAAA